TAATTGCCGACGAAGTTTTCCATTGCAAATGTGATTTTAAAAATTAGGTTATTTCCGCAAAATTGATTGACAAAATGGGGGCAAAAGACGATGATGTGGCAATCCGGGTTCACGAAACTCGGGGCGTTACATATCTAGTCTACTAGTTTTTTATTTCCAAGGATCCTAAAGGATCAAATTGAAAATTTTAAGGTTAATGCTTCTTCAGGTGCCTATTTCCTCTTCTAACAAGGATCATTTGTCATGACAGGTCATGGTGGTTCTCGAGCTGCTGAGTTTTTGAAGGAACATCTCTTTAAGAATCTCTTGAAACATCCAGAATTTACTACGAACATAAAATTGGCTATAAGTGAGTTGATACCTGATTCTTATAGCTGTTCGTTCCTTTCTGCTAATAATTTAGGGATGGAAATGGGAGGGTAGTTCCTGGTATCCATCACTTTCTACTTCCGATGAGGACTGCTTTGAAGTATATAACTGAGGACTTGGGAGGTTTTTAAAAGATACGAAATTCTGTTCTTCTTTAATTTTTGGACTATTTTAAGGATTTGTAAACAGGCCTTAGTATGTAACTCTTTTTATTAGCTGTCCCTAGGGCTCTAATTCATTCCAACCATGTTGGGTGATACCTCTAGTCTGCAGCTCTGGTGCCTGGAACAGTTAACATAGAAAGTTAATGGATTAGTATTAGCTTGTCTATTATATGCAGGACATTGATAATGGCTTTACCATTCATGAAAGTGTTAGTGATGGATAGTTTGTCCCACATTGAGAATGTGGAGAGGGTGGGGATAACAGAAAAGGAAAGCTATGAAAGGAGGAGATCCAGAGAGACGTGAGAACATTAGCTGGTTTTGATTAAAGATATTGTTTTTTCATTCCCATGTTGCTCGTGACAGTGATTATAAATGGAATATAGTAAAAAATCATTTGGAGTTGAGGACCTGTCAGGGACATGATATTTTTTGTTTGCTCCAAAAGGATGACTTTAGTAGCTGTCATAGTTGGTAATTCATTTAACTGGATAAAACAAATAGCAGTAACCTGGCTCTCAGCATAGCTTTTGCTGTCCATGGAATGGAAATATTTTTCCCTGCTTTGCATGTTCAATTACATCAAAGTCTCTGAAGGATGAATTATTAATGGGGAACTGGCTTTTTGTTCCCTCTTTTTCATATGACAGAAACAGATATACCTAATATATTTATTTATAATAAAATCACAGGTGAAACATACCAACAAACTGACAAAGACTTTTTAGAGTCGGCAAAAGATAAGGGATGATGGTTCAACAGCTTCAACAGCCGTTCTAGTTGGCAATCACCTATATGTTGCTAATGTTGGAGATTCTCGAACTATAATATCGAAGGCTGGGAAAGGTACTTCTAATTGTGTGTTGCCAATATGCAACACAATGCTTTTAGCCGTCAGCTGATTGCAGTAAAATGCGTTAAATGAATTGTCCAATATACTTTATCTGCTCCAACTGAGCATTGTTGAATACAGTCATTAAATTTCGGTTTGCATTTTTATTTATTTTTTAATAAAAGAAGGGAGTGTTCATTTCTCCGCTCTTGAAATGTAATTGTATTCAATGATGATGGCGAATTCTTTCATGTCATTGTTGTTTTTCCTGTCTGTAAAAAAATTAAGATAGATATTTAATGGCGCCATTCACCTTTTACTAATGAAGTGTACCTGGTTGTGTAAAATATTAGTACCGGTTGTATCTTTTTCACAGCATGCTGACAGGGAAATTCAGTAATAAAATTAGTGTCAAGGTAATGGAGCATTTAAGCAATACTAGATTTTAAAACCAATTAATGTGTTGTATCTTGGGCCTTGGCCAACATTGTTTCTGATTATGCTGCTGCTGTCTATGACTGTTTTGTGGTTTATGGTACATAAGAGAAACTTTGATTTTTAAAGTTCTTTTGACTATAATTTTGTGATATCAACTCCTTCGTTCTGCTTGACAGCAAATCCACTCTCGGACGATATCAAACCAAATAGAATTGATGAGCGGAAAAGAATTGAATGTGCTGGAGGTGTTGTTATGTGGGCGGGTATGTGATGTCTGGCAATTATCATACTGATCTCCAGAAAGTAGTGGTTATGTAAAAGTTACTAATTTACTTCTCCACTTGTTACTATCCATCAGGCACTTGGAGGGTGGGTGGTGTCTTGGCCATGTCCCGTGCTTTTGGCAATCGCTTGTTGAAGAAATTTGTTGTGGCAGAACCAGAGATTCAGGTATTCACTAAAACTTTTGGGTAGACAAATTTTGTTACTTTATCACTTCTTCGTTCTTACAAGCACTGGGTAACCATGAGTGGAAAACATTCAAAGATAGGAGGAACATTTGTAAGAGGAAATTGAAAGAAGGAGCTCCATACCAATCACCATCCAGCCTAGAGTTTAGTTTTTTGATACCCACAACACCAAACCCGGGGCTGAGGGGGTTAGGGCCATATACCCTCCATCGGGAAAGGGAGACCCTCTTGCCAACCATGCTCCTAAAAATAGTAAAGCAACCTAAATCAATGGCACACAGAAGCTCAATCCTCAACTTCAGAATATTCGAAGCAAAGACCATAATTCCTTTCTTTGGACGGACTGAGCTTTAGGGAAAGGTGTAGAGGGGAGGTCAAAGTGGGGACAATAGAGAAATTTCTCGATTATCCTTGGAAGTGAGGTTGTATATGATGTCGAACAATTCTATCCCATTTATAATTGATTTTATCTCTTGTTCTTCTTTCTTATTTTTACAATATGATTTATTTTCTTTATTGATTAGGATATAATTTCTTCTTTCTTTTAGATTAGGATTTTAACTTTATTTCCTTTTAGAATTTTAGTATAGTTTTCTATATTAGCAAGATTAGAAAATTATTTGCTTATATAAAAAAAGGTTTTGTGCACTTCTTCTATCATCAATTAAAGCAATTCAATACAATAAAATTATTCTCTTCAAACTTTCTAGTTTCTTAACTTTATTCTTGTTTCAAGAATTTTAATTCTAATTCTACTTCAGCACTCAAATTGTTACGTGAGAGAGGTTTACCCTTGGCTGATTACCTATGGTGGTAGTAGTACGCATTCTTGCGCTAGTGATCGGATGGTTGCAAAATTATTAACCTTGGTCCAGAATATGGAACGAAGGATGGATATGTTCGAAGATGTAGTTGGTAACAATTTGCAGGCTTTGGCTACTATGAATGTTGATTTCTTCAACAAACCAAAAACACGGCAACAAGAGATTAGAGAGTTCTCTCGAGTCCCAACTAAGTTTAAATTCACAACCTATCAATTGGATTCTATGAATGTCTACCGAAAATATATAAAGTAGCAAAATTTCAAGCACGACAAGATTTTTAGAACATGATACACTATCAACAGCAAAGTATGCAATATGATAATAGATCGTGAATGGTGAGAATATGGTATCTGAATCATTGACGAAAACTTTAAATTTGAAAACTGAAAAATACTCATTTTGCCATCAAGTTTCACAAGTGAAAGGGGGCACGAAATTCAAGCTATGGAGGAATGCAACTACTTTCTATTGAAAAGTACGGCAAAGATGAGATTGTGTGTAAGGTGATAAAGATGGCGATTGTCATGTATATTGGGTACAACCATGTTGCTATGATGTAGATGTCACTTGCATAGGTCGAGATAACATATAGTTATTTTGGTGGTATAATAAATTGTGTCATGTGATGAGCAATTTGCAAATATAAGTATACACCAGGAGCAAAAGATTTAGGCAGATGATGAGGTTAAAAAGTTAGTCATTTAAGATGATAAAAATGTTACCGACCATGATTATAATAGAAAGATAAAAGCATGTGCAAGTTGAAAACCTTAGTCTGTTCGTCCTTTATGAATGGAAATTGACAATGAAAAAAGCTCAAGGATGAAAAACTTTCTGGTGAAATTGCAATTGAATGCCCAAGATCGAGCCACCCAGATGACGAATAAGTTGAAGTTCAAAAGTGTCCAATAGAAGAAAAGGGAATCGAACTTTTCAATTACGAAGGAATAAATGTGACGCTTGTCAAATTGATGATGAAAGTTTCGTTGACCTTCTTTGAGGTTTTAGTGCTAACGAATTGCATAAGCTTTAGGGAAATTTGGAGAATATAGATTTGAATCCCCGCACTAGTTCTTTTGTATTGAAGAAAACATTGTCGGATAATATAGTAGAAGATGAGAAGCATAAAGAATTGAAAATAACACGTGACCTCTAACGAAAGTGGACTCAAGGATCAGAAATCGAATCATGCTTGTTTTATGAATGAAGTCCACGTTTTAATTGTCCATTAGGAAAATATAATAAGCAAGGTACAAACAAAGTTGACTTTAAACAATGCAATAGAAAAAATATTGACTTTTATCAAGTACATCAAGAAATGAACATTTCTTCAACATTAGTATCAACAAAATTTTTTGAGTATTTTCCTCTTGATTGATTGTTTTTCTTCAATCAAACTCAAGAACGAAATTTTATTTTATTTTTTCAAATGGGAGATAATGATGTAAGGACATTCCTATTCCGAATAGGATTTGATTTTGTCTCTTTTTTCTTCTTTCGTGTTTAGAATATGGTTTTTTCTTTCGATCTTGCTAATAATATGATTTCTTTTCTTTATTGAATAGAATATGTTTCTTTCTTTCTTTTAGATTAGGATTTTATTTTTCTTTTTTCTTTAGGATTTTAGTTTGATTTCATTATATTAGTAAGCTTAGAGAATTATTTGCCTATATAAATAAAGGCTTTCTATACTTTTTAAATCATCAATTAAATTAATTCAATATATTCGAATTATTCTTACAAAATTTCTATTTTTAAAATTTTGTTTTTATTTCAAGAATTCCAATTTTGCTTCCACGCCAGAATAGATGCCATGTGGTTTGATTTTGCCTCTAAAAACTCATTCAACTGACTAAGGCGACCAAGCGCAACAAGGAAAGAGAGGCTCTTTCATGTTGGTAGATTTTTTTTTTAATGAAATTATTTGTATGGATCACCCCAAAACCAAAGTTTAGAACCTTGTTTATGCAAGTCTTTTGTGTAATCTGCTCATCTCATTAACTAAGAGACAGATATGGTTCTTCTTTGTCGGTAATCAAATGCACAAGGTTGTGCTATTCAAATAGATATTCATCGTTTTTTTCTTTTAATTTTACAGGATCAGGAAGTTGACCAGGATCTTGAATTGCTTGTGCTTGCAAGTGATGGACTTTGGGACGTTGTACCCAACTAGGTAATCTCTTTGATAGATGATGATCAGAACGAGAATTCATCATCCATTGGAATCTCTAAGTTCGTTAGATGGTTTTGCGAGTGGACAATCGTTTTTTATTATTACAAATGGGTTGTTTGTTTGGCATTCACAAATTCATTTTGTCTTGGATACCAACAGAAGTATTCACCTTTATAGCAAAGTCTTCTCTCGAAAACTATGACAAAATGGAACAAGATAAACCAAAAAATCCTTTAGCACTATTGCCGATGCATTTGTCCCCATTAATATCAGGACGCCATCTCACTCGCGCAAACAGAAGATCCTGAAGCAGCAGCTAGAAAGTTGGTAGAAACTGCTTTCACTCGTGGTGGTGCTGACAATATTACATGCATTGTTGTGAAGTTCCACCACAATAAAAAAGAACCTGACGGAGCCCATCAAAATTGCAGAGACCTTGTAGAAACCCAGCAAAACTGCAAAGCAGGCCTTAACGAAACCAAGCAAAACTGCAAAGCAGGACCTGAAGAAACCGAGCGAAACTGCGAAGTAGCGCCTGACGAAACCCAACAAAGATGATTAATTCATTGACCCCGAGTTAATAGGATTCTGAGATGCAAATATGCTGATGAGCACGCTTAGGGGGTGGTGATTTGTTCATTCATTGGTTTATTTCCTATGTTCATGATCAAAGGTCAATTTTTATTGGTGTTTAATTTAATTCAATTAGAAATGGGTTCTTGTGTTCCCTTTTAATGTTCCATTTCCAATGCATATCTTTGTAGCTTCTTACTCCAGGCCCAACACAGGTAATGCTTCCTTGGGGTTGGGGGTCCTGTATGCTCGTGGCATGCTTGGTAGGTATAGTATTGGATAAAGAGAAAAAAATGTAAAAATCTTGTAATCCATTTTTGTCTAATATTTGCTTACCAAATATGTACTTGTGCTTGTTACTTTTCCTTGAGCTGAATGATTCTTATAATATTTGAAAAACTTGCCACTGCTAATAAGTAAAACCAGATCTGTGAGTGAGTTTAACCACCCCGAATGTAGATGTGATGACTGATTGTATAATTACAATCATGTTATTTACTTTTTAAGGGATAATTTCTTTAGAGTTTTGACTAAGTTGAAAGATGTCTCTTGCTTCGAATGAAATGATTTTTTTTCTTTATAAGAGAAGAAGACTGACATCTGGATCAGTTGTTGTGTAGTTAAAACTTGAAGTTGGGTCTCCATCGATAGACCTTGGGATTTGAAGTGGGTATTGACAAATGATAAGAGAATTAAATTGGGTATTAATAAACAATCTTTCGAGAACGAAAATATAGTTATTCTTGTACCTATTCATGTTGATAACAGAAAAATATGGAATAGAAAAATTGAATCATAGTGCCATGCCTTTATTTGGTTATTAAAGGTAAATAAATATTAGTATAGTTGTGGGCAAATTATCCCAAACCTTATTCATATTGCGTTTTTAGTCCAAAACCTTCAAAAGTCACACAAATGGTTTCAAACCTTTATTTATCAACCATGCTACAAGTACAATTTTTTTGACTCAAGTTCGACAATGTGCCATGTGTTGAAGATTGAGTGGCCAGTTTTTAAACACCACACACTTTCATGCACATTCGAATTTGAATTAACATGGATTGTCAAATTTTTTGTCAACCACGAATTGTACACAAAACATTATTCTTTATTTATTTGGCACGAATGATCTTTTTGGATGGATAATATTCAAATGGGCAGTTAGTTCTGTGCATGGAATGCAATTATCCTTATTTGGTTTTTATTTGAAATGATAATTTTGTCAAATAACTGTAAGATCAAATAATGAAAATAAATTGAAAATAAAAATTTTAAACAAGGCAAAAAATTAAAATATAGTTATCTTCTAATCATCCCAACCACCCACCTCCAACCTCACCTCATCCCACCCTAGAAAAACCACCGTCCACCACCACGCACTACTACTATCCACACGCCACACCACTGCCATTGCTCTTTGAGATTATGAGCATAATTCAAGTCACTGAAAAACTCTCAACTGTTGTGCTGTGATGTCAAAGATTAATGGGCTGGTCCAACGAATTTTCTGGGCAATGATGATAATGGGCTCAAAGTGGTCCAAGTTGGTCGGTTTTTATTGGGGAAAATTATATAAAGTCAGGGGTTTAGTTTGTCATTTTTAAAAATCAGGTTTTAAGTTTATTTTTGTAAAAATCAGGTAGTATATTAAAACCTAATTCTTAA